AAGGTCAAGGCCCCTGGGCTGTGGCACCCGGCTGGGCTGCTCATGGACCACTTCAACTGCAAAATCACTTTCTTTGAGCAACGTCAACATGAAATGAGTACCTGTGGTGTCTCAGCCCCACACCAGCTTGTGGATATCTAATGTCTTCTTGTCCTGTACACCATCTCAGAAAAGAGAACCCACACCCAGCCCCGTAAGCCTTACCATTAGAGATAACTCTATAGTTCAGTGGCCTTGAGAAAGAACCAAATCACTGTGTTCGAATGGGAAGCTAATTATAAATCACTGTCACTTTCTCTTAAGGTAATTATGATTTCTATGTAAATTATTTCTAGCAGGCATATTTAAACATTTTCTGCAGGACCCATAGCACCTACACAAGGTCTGGCAACTAATGGGCACAAATAAATATTTAATTCATTGACATAAAGTTAAATGACACTTGCCACAAATGCTTAACATTACCTCTTTACAGATGCTTAATTACTGTGCTATAGAAACAGCAGTAAATTCAAAATCTAACCCTTTATTACCAAACTGGCTGTCTTAAGAGACTAACATTTTATTCATGTGTGAACAAGTCCTCCTAATCATTTTAAACTATTTTCCATTGCTCAAAAGGAACATTTCTTATAATTCACATCTATTTTTGGCTGTCAACTGACAGAAGACCATTGGTGTCTCTGGATGCACATGAACATCTCCCCAGATCACTGACATTATTGAAATGTGCTCCAATTCCCACAACATTCAGTTTCCACAGAGAAATACACCAAGCATTCAGTGTACACACACATACCACACATAAAGCCGTTATATTAATTTAGGTTAGAGTCAAATGCCCACAAGCACTGAGTCTGGCCAAAAGCAATGTAACCACCATCAATAAAGAGATTCCATAAAAAGAATTCATAACTCTGATAACACATTTAAAATCTCCTTTAGTCACTGCCAAGACATACCCCCTGGATACCATGGCAGCCAGCTTAATGTTACAGACATATATATATTTGACTCAAATATAACTTTTGAACTTCTAATTTATGTGGAGTGTCAAAGTAATACAGCCTGACAGTTTCCCAGCTGTCTATTAATTAAACTCTTGAAGGGTTAAGGGCTATAGTTTTACATGTAAATCATTCCCCCACCACCTAAATTCTTAATGACCAATGTCACCCAAAAGTCCACTTAGCTTTTCTGAAACTAGAAATCCAAGAAACACCAACGCCTGCTGAAAAATAAACAGAAACACTGTATTTTGTGTGCTTTCTCATTCTTGTTCCTGAATAGAAGTTCTTAAAATTGAAACCCTGATACTGCTGACCATCTTGAGAAGTCAGGTTTAGACTGTGTGTTCTCCAAAACAGCCTGCGGGTTCAAGTATGCCTGAGATTCTCCCTAAAGAAGCAGAGAACACAAGTTTGAGCAAAACGGAGGGGCTAAGATGCACAATAAGAACTCTCTATATAAATTATTCCAGAGATGAGCTGAGAAAAATCCCCAGAGAACTGATTTTTCTCTACTGTCCTCAGCGCTTAAAGTTCCACTGTCCTGGCTGCACAGCTCTGGTTTCACAGGAGACTGAATTCCAAAATGTGATGTTAAGGTAGAATCTAAGAACCACACCCAAGGGATAGTTTTGGGGCAAAGCATCAATCTGAAAGAGTACAGTCACTCAGATAAGCCAAACAGCCTGGACCCAGTCTAAGGCACCTGTGCCTCAGAGAAAGTGCCCTCCTTGAGTTTCAGACTCACCCATTCCTACTTTTTGTTGGAGGTAGAGGAAAAGGACACTCCACTGTCCGGCCTCTCTCCAGAATCCCTGCACACAATGTTAGGCCCCAGCAGCTACTCTGCACCCCACCCACACTCTAAAACATGCCTAAGGCCCAAAGAACACAGCACGCAGCTAGCACCATCCAAAAAAATCAGCTGCAGACCCCAGCCTCCTCCGGGAGGACACCCCCTACCTCTGCCGCCTTCTCAGAATCCTGGGTCTTCCTTATACCCTTCCACTCACCTAGAGCAAGAGTCTGTCTTTTCCGAACCAAATCCAGCACTCTTCGCCCCAATGTCAATGGCCCCTGCTTTCTCCATCCCCTGCTATCATCTCCTCTCTGATACACCTGCCCTCACACAGCCTTGGTCTCTACACACCTTCCTCGCATAGTACCGTAGTCTGCACACCTCCACACACAACCTGAGCTCTCCTGCACGCCACCCCTCACACACTCCCGGCCCGCACTGACTCCCCTCACACGCCCTCTGAGTCCGTACAGCCTGCCTGCACAGCCTCCCCTCACCCGCTCCCGGCCCGCACAGCCTCCCCTCACACGCTCCCGGCCCGCACCCGCCTAACCCC